TTTGGCGGGTCCGGGCTGGGGATTCGAACCCGCCACCTTAGGTGTACGTGGCTGGCGCCTTAGCCGGTTGAGCTATAGGCGCCGAGCCTATAATCACTCTTAATAAACTATTTTACCAAGGAATATGCCTAGCATGCTCAGAGAAATGTAGATTGGCAGCTAAAACATGAAGAAAAGGATACTTTTATGGACAAAGACAAGATTAGTTTGGCCCAGTTGGAAGGCAGTCACCATGGCTGTTTTCTCATCCAGTAAAGCCACTTTCCCAGAAGGCATCCCATTAAGTGCAACTCTATGATCTTGCAATTCCAGTGTATAATGTTCCAGGGGAAATTTCACTTCTGTAAACATGAAAGATACATAAATGTAATGACAGATGTCATTCCAGTGGATAATGGTATGTTGTTAGATTGTGTCAGGAAGCAGGGCTAAAATAAGAGTAGGTAGGATCTGCTCCTAATTTCTTTCCCATGATGATGAAGACATATGTGAGGTAATAGTATATGAGACTATTGCTGCTATTACTTGTATTCTTAAAACTAGTGAACTAGGGCCGTGCCTCTGGCACCATATACTGAGGGCAGCGGTTTAAACCTGGCCCCAGCCAAACTGCAACCACAACAGAAAAAAAATAGCTGGGCATTGTGGTGGGCCCCTGTAGTCCCAGCTACTCGGGAGGCTGAGGCAAGAGAATAGCCTAAGCCCAGGAGTTGGAGATTGCTGTGAGCCATGTGACACCACAGCACTCTACCAAGGGCAACAAAGTAAGACTCTGTCTCCACACACACACACACAAAATCTAGTGAACTGAGTAGCAGGAGAGATCACTAATCGGTAAGTAGGGAAAGGACTAATGTCAATGGAGCCAAAGCACACTTCATGAAAATAAAGGGACTTTTAGAGTCAGTTGAGTATTTTTTCTTTAAGAGACAGAGTCTCACTTTCTCACCCTTGGTAGAGTGCTGTGGCATCACAGCTCACAGCAACCTCTAGCTCTTGGGCTTAGGCAATTCGCTTGCC